CCCCCCCCCGTAATAAGTACAAACCATATCAAGGAATCTACGTGGATGAATACGTGTGCGTTAGTATCTGCGCACGCCGTAGGTTTGGGTTGTGATTCCGGGCTTGGGCAGAGCGTGCACAGTTCGACCTATCTTTATTTTTAATGTTAGTATTTAGGATGACTCCTATAGCTGTAGAGGATTTATGCAGTCAAACGTGTTCTTCTGGTGAAAGTGAGAGGAATAGGATAGTTTACATTGATCTCGTTGCTTTGAGATTTAATAAAAAGGAATGACTTGCAGTTTGAGGACATGAAATCTGACTCATCATGTGGGATTATGCCTGTATTGAATCAAATCCCCAAACAGGCATCCATCCCTTTTTGTGTGACTTTAAACTGTTTAATGTAGTTTGAATTACATCTTCTTAATTCTGTCAGTTTTCAAGATAAGTCTTTTGGAAACTCTTTTCCTCACCCAGTGGCTCAGCGCAAGAAAATTGGCAAAGAATAAACTTCATTAATTTAAAGTCACTTTATGGAGGTGATAATTTTCTGTGGGGCTTTTTTTTGTGGTCGTCTTTCTCTCAAAGACCTGTTAAGTTTGTACAAGGTGGGCTGGTACCTTTTTAGACATTTTTGCACTGTATTAATAATTGAACCTGTGTAAATGTGTATAAAATCATTGCATGTATATGTATATATGTACATATATCTAATAAATGGCTTTTTTTGTAATACTCGTCTTCATTTATCGTTCTGAAATAGCTGATTATATTAGAAACAAGGTCGATTAGCCATTTCATTTTTGACACATCTTCAGTGTTTCATGTGGCAGTGCTTAAAATACTTGAGGGAAAAAAAAAAAAAGCTCAGTTCTTTAAGAAAAAGCTTCAAAATAAGAGTGATTTCAAATGCTGCCGTAGTGCATCCTGGATTGGTTTGTATGTGATTCCTTACAGAAAGAAGTATCTGTATGACCGCAGGATGGCTTGCTCTCAGACAGTGTTCTCTGATACGTAATCTACCTGGGGGCACACTAGCTCTTCTTGTTCAGGGGGCATTAGGTAGGATTTTTATTCAGTCATCTACACACTGCAAAGTGCCTGCTTCATCGGTTGAACTATATAAATATAAGTATGTATAGAGAAACTTGCTTATGCAAGGAACAGGTTGAAGGCAGCTGTGATATAATCCCATTGTAGCTTTAACAGTCTTGTTCTTTACTTTCAGAGACCACGTTAGAGGCTTTTCCTGCAAACTTGAAATTTGAAGTGCTGAAGAATGTGAAGTAATATGTAACGCAGTCCCGTAGGTCCTTTTCCAGCTGCCTGGCAGTGAGTAATGGGGATTTTGCAAATTGCTGTTAGATTCTTAGCCTAGTCTCTTAATAGAACCATGGAATGGTTTGGGCTGGAAGGGACCTTAAAGACCATCTAGTTCCAACCCCCCTGCCATGGGTAGGGACACCTTCCACTAGACCAGGTTGCTCCAAGCCTCATCCAGCCTGGCCTTGAACACTTCCAGGGATGGGGCATCCACAGCTTCTCTGGGCAACCTGTCCCAGTGCCTCACCACCCTCTCTGTGAAGAACTTCTTCCTGATATCTAATCTAAACCTCCCCAGTTTCAATGTAAACCCGTTACCCCTTGTCCTGTCACTATGTGCTCTTGTAAAAAGTCCCGCCCCAGCTTCCTTGTAGCCCCTTCAGGTACTGGAAGGTGCTATAAGGTCTCCCTGGAGCCTTCTCTTCTCCAGGCTGAACAAGCCCAACTCTCTCAGCCTGTCCCCATAGCAGAGGTGCTCCAGCCCTCGGAGCATCTTTGTGGCCTCCTCTGGACTCGCTTCAACCGGTTGATATCCTTCTGATGTTGGGAACCCCAGAGCTAGGCCTGTTAGTCTTACCAGTCAGTCCCTGCTAACAGCTTGTAGACTTATTTTGGCCAATTTCAGCCACCTTTGATAAAGGCTCTGAAGACACTGATTCATCAGGCTTTATAGAAAGGAATGGCTCAATGTGACAGGAAGTTCACTTTTCCCACTGTCTGAGTGTAATCTGCAAATGTGCTTTGGGAGAGTGATGCTTTGAGTGGCAGGACTCATAGAGGACCCTGCCTGATCAGGAACCAAAGAATGTGGTAAAAATCAAGAAGCTGGAAGAAATTTGACCTATGGAACTGCTGGTTTCTTCCCATTTTTCTCCTCCCTCTTTCTCCGTAGGCACAATACTTGGATACCTGTAGCTAAAGCAGAACATGATGG